TTGCCTGAATTTTCAGGCTGATTGGACTATTTTTTTCCAGTCTGAAAAAGAAGGAAATCTTCAAAATTGGTGACTCAATCTTGATATTTAATGAAAAATTAACGATGATATGGCTTACTAACAAAAAACACCTTTAATAAACAATATAAACTCCTCTCTCGATCATAGGAACCTCAAGTCGACGAAATGAGACCTGTATTTCATAACAGTAATACAATTAACGTAAGGTTGTGTGGATGCGAACCCTTCGCTTTTTGCCTGCCATCTCGAAAATAGTACGTTTTGTGCTTAAGAACGTATGACCCGATAGTTCCGAAGGAACTGTCTAGGTCTTGGTGTACGCATCAAAATATTGAAAGCCCTCTTTGTCCCGTTCCATCGACAGTCTTACCACCGCTCCAGTATTGAAGACTAGCAAAATGTTTATATCTTAATTTATTTTAGAAAAAAAAAGTGGAGAGTACGATTTGCTAACCCTTGAGAAATTCTGAACCCATCATCACCTTCATGGTCATTCACGGTGTTTCAGCATGACACGACATTATATTTGGTACAAAACCAATTTCGAGCCTTACTGTAACAATATATGTGAGGATGGGGATCGCTAATGAGATTTATTGTTTGTTATCAGAATGATTTGTTGACTACCAGCCATTCCGAATTATTTAAACAAATGAAAAATAATTTGTGTAATAACGCGTAAGAAAATTGGTGTTTATAAGTCAGTTTTCAAAGAGAGAAAAATAAAGGAAAAGGAGTAAGCAAAGAAGAAAATTTCATTGGTAAACTTTGTTAGGGAAAGAGGAGGTCAAATAGAAACCAAGGGTAGGTCGGAAGTCAAATAGGAACTAGACTGATAGCAACTGAGAGCAGAGGCGAATAAATTATCTATGTGTCTTCTCAGAGTTACTTTAAAAGGGTTGAAGGTAGATAGGAATGTACTTGCGTTGTAGCTTTATAAATATAATTGTCAGGAACTATCTACATTTATTTAATATTGTATTATTTATATATCTATATTTTTTAGGAGCTACTCTAAGGAAGTACTTCCCCACCGTCAGTTCGCGACTAGAAGCGACTTGGGTCCTCCCGGACTACTGGATTTCACAGATTCTCACGGGGCATGGGGGTTTCCGAGCAAAGCTCGTTCAGTATGGTATAAATATCGATCCCCTATGCCCAAGTTGTGGGGTACCAGAGACCGCTGAGCATGTAGTACTTACCTGTACGGTCTATGAGTCACTGAGGGCGAAACTGTTGAGAGAAACCGGTCTCTTTGTCGTAACAGAGAGAGATCTTCCTCAACTTATGGCCAAAGACAAATACGATCACTTCAAACGATTTATATATGGATGGAAAGAAGTTGTACTACCAACTCACTTCTCTTTGGGAAGAAGAAGAGAAGATGCACCTGGGAGGCCACCGGAATAGACAGAAGAAAAGAAAACCAGATGCAAGTGAAGAGAAGAGCAAGCTGTGTGCACAGCTCAGAAAAATAATGTAATAGCCAAAAAATGCAGCAGTGGGTTGTTATGTAACAGTAGCATCCCACTGCTGCAAATACCCGTATTGCCTTCAGGCAGGGGAGGGTTGAAAATAAAATAAATAAATATATCTATATTTTTTTCTATTCCTCTCAACCCAAAGCTTATTCTTGTACTACCAAACTCCATTTCACTTCCTTCCACTTTGGCAATCGATCAGCAGACTTTCCTCAACATAACTTTATTTAATCGATTTGCGATGGTACTAGTAATGTTGCTGAGTGAGAGGCGCTGGGATCTCCTAGATTCCTGCCTTTCCTTCCACGAGTGGAGGGAAAGACTTGGCTCGGATATCTTTTTGAGTGAATGAATTATATAAATATCTCATAACAGCATGTGTGCATTTAAGTAGTTATTTAGATTTGTTTAGTTTCCTTTTGTTTATATACAATTACTTTTAGTACTATTATTTTGCTGTTTATTTATTGTCTGAATGAGCTAATCTTATATCACTATTAATATTATCCTTGGATGTGACAGATTGTAGTTTACCTCAATAGAGATTTTTAAAAAAAAAATCGAGTATGTATTTCTTTTTTTTTCAGCCACTTTTTTTTTCGCATTTCTATCAAAAATATGTATAAAGCTTTGTGAGTTTTTACTTAAATTTAATCTTTCCCAAAAGTAAAAAAGGGGAGATATCATCAGAGCTGATAACAATTGAAATGGTGACAATGATTCAAGAGAAATGAAAGAAGAATTTAATATTATACGGGTTAAAGATAACCAAGGCAGTGGAAACCTCCTCCCCCTCCCCCCACCGAACAAATGGCACCAGCAAAAAAGCACTCCCGTCCAGAGCAGGAGCCAATGGGATTTTTTTTTTAATCTTAATCAGTTTGGCAGTTGTTGATGACGTCAGAGTGCGAAGCTTACAAACGCCAAAGAAATTGTATCTTTAAAAATTAAAAAAAAAATGTTAAGACAATTTTTTTTTTTTAAATATTGAGATGGGTGCCATATTTATTTATATCTGATTCAAAAGTACTTGATGAAGAATCAACGAATAGCGCAACGACAAAAAATGTACCTTTTAGAAATAGTATATGAAGATATATTTTATTTGTTTATGAAAAATAATAATAGTATTCAGTAATCAATGTGCCTTGAATTATGATTAAACGAATTAAACGTTATGAAAGATAATAACTTTTAATATATATCGCTACTAAAAAATGCTATAATCTATCCTCCATCCTTGATCATTTTTTTTCCATAATCCTACTTCCCAACCCTCCAGTTATGACTAATATTCTGAGTTCCTGTCACATCAATGCACAATCCCTTTCTGCACACTAGAATGAATTTCAGGAACATTTCCTTGATAATTTTTACTACATATTAGCAATATCCGAAACCTAGTTAAAACCTTTTATCCCTTACTCCCAGATTTCCCTACCCAATTATTTCTTCCTACTATTGTAATAGTATAGAAAAAAAAAATTGTAAATAGTTACTACTGTAAATATGTATATAAATTATTAAAGTGTTCTTCATTATTTTTATTTCATGTTTATTTTCAATCTTTTGTTTTTTATTTGTAATTGATCTAATTAGTAAGTAACTTATAATTTTTTCTATTATTTTTTTTTATTTTGACTATTTAATTACTCTATATTTTTGTTTTGTGTATCTCTAAGGCTCCTTAGCCCATTTTATTGTCTTTTTATATTATTCTAAAGGGACTCGTCCCAGAATAAATAAAGCATTATTATTATTATTATTACTATTATTATTACTGTTAGTGTAAAAGGTCTCATGTGAAAATTAAGATTTTTTTCAAGAAAACATAAAAACTTTATTAGAAGAATTTCATATTTTATTTCTCTCTGCTATTTTCCATAGTAGGTACTAGCGGATCCAGCATTTAATTTTGGGGTGGACTTCAGCCCGGAAGCTTTTTTTTTCATAAAAATAATGATAATTACTTCGGAAAAACAGAAAGAACCTAACTAACTTAATGAAATGATGTTTAATGATTCCTCAAGTCCGTAACTACATTCCTCAATGTAATTACACGAACAATAATACTTTAAGAGGTATTATTTTTCCATAAAACATGGTTATATTTCACAATTTGGGGGGGGGGCTTCAGCCCAAAGCCTCCCTCCCCTCGTATATTCGCCCGTGATAGTAGGAGACCCCTTATTGCAGTTGTGGGCTACAATATGTCACCTTTAGCACAAATAGAATAAAAATGTTAATTTTTCACATAATTATTACATTGACCTTTTGGGATAACAGTAGCGACGTTAGTTTCCATAATGTAAGGATCTCTTATTAAAACATCTAATTACGTTTTATGAAACCTATTGTATAAAATACATACATACGTTTAATCATAATTCAAGCCGAATTGATTGCTAGGTATGGTTATTTTTTTTCATATAGAAATAATATATATCTTTATATATTCCTTGTCTATGGGTTGTTGTTTTTTTTTTTTTTTTTATGAAACTTTATACTTAAAATACATAAATGTTTAATCATAATTTTTGACAAATGGTACCATATCAAAAAAGCAAGGTAAATAATTGTACAATAGATTAATTAGATTAGTATTGTAAAAATAGTTTATTTAAGATGTGCATAGTTTCAGTGAATATAAGATAATAAATGTGATCAAAGGGATTTGAAGGAAATTGGAAGTATTATTGCTTTAACTATGAAAAAAATATATATCTTTGTATATTCTTTGTCTATGGTGGTTTTTTTTTGTTTTTTATGAAACCTTATATTTAAAATACATAAACGTTTAATCATAATTCAAGACAAATTGATTGCTAAGTATGGTTATTATTTTTTCATATACAAATAGTACATATCTTTTGTGACAAAAAATATATTTTAGAGTAACAATGAATAAGAAAATATGTGTAACACTAAAAAAAATATAAAATGAATGTGACAAATATTTGAATTTTTGACGAATGGTGCCATATCAAAAAAGCAAGATAAATAATTGTACAATAGTTGAAGTAGATTAGTATTGTAAAAATAGTTTATTTAAAATGTGCATAGTTTCAGTGAACATGAGATAATAAATGTTATCAAAGGGATTTGAAGGAAATTATAACTATTATTGTCTTAACTATGAAAAAAAAAATATCTTTGTATATTCTTTGTCTATGGTGTTTTTTTTTTTATGATATCTAATATATAAACTGCATAAACGTTTAATCATAATTCAAGAGAAATTGATTGCTAAGTATGATTATTATTTTTTCATATACAAATAAAATATATCTTTGTCTATGGTGTTTGTGTTTTTTTTTTGTCGGTACGCCATATCTTCGCTCTTTCTTCATCAAATACTTTTGAATCAGCCTATCTTCCCCTTCAGCATTTCTTATTGAAAGGTCGTTAGATATTTTTATAACGACATTATTTCAGCCCATAACAGCAAGTACCGTCTTTAGGAGCAATACTAAGCTAGTAAATCTGCCCCAGCCATCGCTAGCAGTGGGTGTTACATAGACCATAGACCCCGGCCTCTTGTGGAGACCATAAGGCCGATATGGAGTGGCTGCCCGAAACGGCGAACGTGAGTTTGGCCCCGCCTTGGAGATTATGTTTCCAGTAATTGTGCTGTTCCAGCGATCGTCCATCTTCTCCAGTAAGGATTATATCGACGTCGGCAACTGTATCAGCACAGTCTCTCATTGAGGGAGCACATATGGTCGGTTTATAGGGCAACTAAATGACCATATTGTAAGATTAGGTCCTGATAAATCGTCTATCCTTTATGTCGGTAAGATTAATTATCTTATATAGCTATTGATGAAACTGTAAGGCAGTCAGTCAGCACACAGTATATCTTCAATGTTGCTGTATGTCTACGCTTGATCAAGAACCGTTCAATATTTGTGGATATGGATACATAAGACATGGGCAAAAAGTATTTTAATTATTGTTATAAAATACAGTATTTAGAATACCAAGATTGTATTTTAAATACAAGGTATGTAGACTTTTTTAAGAGAAAGTATTTCTAGCACAAAATATCAGAAGTAGTTCGTATTTTAATTACAAAAAACAAAATAAAAATCATATTAGAAGGAGCCATGAAATTTAAAAGACAGTGGAAATACATTTGAAATAACTAGTGTTCGCCCAGTGGTCGCAGTTCGACTATAACCATTAAAAATTTGAGGAAAATATATAATTAAATAAAAAATAAATTAAATAAATAAAGAGTAAATCACGATTCAAAAATCCTCATTTATTAATATAAACAAAATTTCAATTTCAATTAAAAATCGAGCTTAAACTACTTAAAATTATTTTTAAGTAATACAAAGTAGGCTCATTAAAAAATATTTAATTTATGTGTGTTATTATAACAATAAATTAATGTTAATAAATAATAATAATAAATTAGCAATTTCAATTCACTTGAAATCCATTTTTATTTAGAACTTCTCTGTAAACAATATTCTTTTTGAATGTTTTATTATTGTTTAGTGTATAGCCTTGCCCATTGCCATTGAAAATATAATTGTCCATGAGAAATCACTGGACGTCGCAATAATACACACATTTTTCCAAAACTTTGACCCTGCGATTTGATTATGGTCATAGCAAATGCAGCTATTAATAGAAACGTTGTTCTTTGAAAGTCGATATAAGTATTGTGTCAGAAAATGTTAAAATAATTCTTGGAATTAAAATTCTTTAATTTAAAGTATCCCTCGTTAGTACTTCACTCTCATTCGTGTTTCATTAACTAATGCTTGTGCAGTATTTAAGGTAAGAATGAGCACAACTATAGAATTTACTTAAAACATTCCAATAACATTCAATGATATCATATCTTCAAATAATACTTCAGATTACTCCATTAATTTAAAATTTAAATGTAAAATTTTCGGTTTATCAAAAAACAAAATAAATGAAATCGACTTTGCAAAATAAAACGTACTGAATGTTGAAAATGATATATCTCTGCAGCAAATAATCCGATTACAATGATTTTTTTTGATTTTTTTGGAAATCAAGAATGCTTTCAAACAAATATTGGTATCATCGATAAAAAAAAGTGCGTACTTTTCGAGTTATTCGCAAATAAAATACTGAATTCATCATAAAAATTTATGCAGCTTGTTTCCGGGAAAATATGATATATACATAAATTATAAAGGTTTCAAGGAAAAGACTTTATCCAAGTTTCATTGAAATCGTTGAAGCCGTATTGGCGCTGCAGTCTAACTCGAATCACGTTTTTCGGCCACCATTTCGAAAGAAAAGGCCTGATAATAATGAAATGTGTACAAAAAATATTATTGCGACGTTGTGTCAAAACTAAAAAAAAAAAATCGGTGAAAAATGTTTTGGAGATTAGCCGTTTTGAACAAACTACCATTTATATTTTTATTTACATACTATTTAATATTTTTATTTATTGATAACACTAAAACTCGTCAATAGCTATTAAACAAAAAAATAAGGAAGAAAATCGGTTGAATAATGGAGGAGTAAAAGGGGCTGAACCATTTTGTATATATTTATATAATGATTAATTGACAATAAATCATTTAACTCAATTAATATTACTTCTGAACATTTTATAACAAAAGTGACGGTTTGCCAAGTATTTCAAAATATAAATATTCTCTAAGATATTGAATAAATAATTACTTTTTATTTACTGAAAAAAACTACAGTAAAAAAGTTAGGAACTTGAAAAAATTAAAACTGAAAATGAAAAAATGAAAACGGAATATTAAGAAATATATCAAAATGAATAATGTCTGCAATTCCCAACGAAATTTTCTTAAAATAATTGGTTCATTAGCGATAAGCGGTTGTTACAAACTAAGAAGGAACAATCCTTTTATAGATATGTGTGTGTGTGTTTGAAAACATAAACCTATTTGATATATGCATGGTTTGTTACTTAACTCATTTCAGTCTAAAACTGCACTAAAGGCACTGGAAGAACTATTTATGATGAAATATTCCATTCTAATTAGTAGTTGATGATTAAAATTATTTATTAAATGCAAATTAGAAATTATAATGACTAGTTCATATTTTAGTTAAAATATTTTGGTCATTAAAACAAATTTTTATATTTATATTTTTGTTTGTTTTAAGAAATATTATTAAATTTACAAGAAATATCTCACAAATTATATCATATCAAGTTCGGTTTGAATCCGTATATCATAATTTTACGGAGAAAGTTTCACATTGAATGTTTTTCCCAGAATTAAAGATTTCCTTCCCTTTAACACAATACATTTATATCAACTTTCATATAAAAGCGAGAGTAGTCGACCAGGTAAGGTAACTTAATGGACTCAACAAAGGTTCCAACAAAAGCATCCATTACCAACACTGCGTTGAGGATGGTATTCCATAGATCTAGGATTTGCTCTCTACAAATTTCAACTTAGATACATTTATTTTTAATGCGCAGTCAAATATTCCTTGTTTCGTAAAAGACTTCATCTTAGCGTAACCTACAATTTTTTAAATCACAAAATCGGCAAACTTTGTCAATTTAATGAGGTTCTAAAAACTCTCATGAACACTCATTTGCTTTTCAATTGAATCCTAAGAAAGATTTATTAAAAAATAGAGAAAAAAAGGTGGCCTACAAATATATTGGGCCGTTTGGCGTGATCTCCATCCCCAGCATGTATCAAATAACATTTTTTATCAATGATCAGCATTGTTCTTATCAGCCATACATTAACAGACAGAGAGCCAAATGAATCACCATTTGCATACATTAAAATGTAATCAACTAATTAATTATTGCTATGCAGGTCCTCCATAAATTAAAGGTTAACTATATTATCCATTTGGTCTATCTGCTTCTCTAATCGATTTTTTTTTCACCTAATGTAAAATATCGCCATTTTCATTTTAAAAACCAATTAAATGCATACTGCAAATAAAATAATAACAAAATTAGAACAATTATTCAAGTAACTATTAAAATTCTTAATATTCTCTTAAATTTTCTATATTTTATGTAGTAAGATAATTTTATGGAGATATTACATATAATATAAACTTTACTTAATGAAATTAACAATAGAATCGTTTAACTATTGAAAATAGTTTCTCTTTTTTTTTGTTGAAAAATTATTGCGAATATCATTCCTTAAAAAATTGTGAAATAATATATTTAACAGGTTGTGTAAAAAAAATTGACCGTTTTTTAACCAAATATTTGTATTATTATTTCTTTGATATAAAATACAATTAATACTCAAAGTATAGTCCATTGTTATCTACCGTCATTAGCCATCTGCTAGCCAATTGCTCTATTCCACGCTGATACCATTCTTTGGGATGGCTATCAAAGAACTCTTGGACCCCAATTTCAACTTCTGCTAAATTTAAAAAAAAATTCCCTTGAAGAAACTGGGTCATGGATCTAAATAAGTTGTAATCCGATGGTGCGAGGTCTGGACTATATTGTGCATCAGGCAGAAGTTGAAGCCCATGAAGTGCTTTAAACTTTTTTTGGTTCGAGGGGAAGTGTGAGGACGAGCATTATCTTGCTGGAAAAAAAATTCTTTTCGTTTGATCAAAGCAGGGTTATGTCCAGACAACTTCGCGTACAATCTTCCCAGTTGTTCACATAGAGTTCAGAATTCATAGAGTATCCAACAGGAACAAATTCGTGATGAATAGCACCTTCAAAATTAATAAAAAAAACGCAAATAATGGATTTTTTTTTTAAATTTCTTGCAACCGGAAAAGCAGTTTTACCACGATCTAGCTATCGCTAACGGGTATTCGGATTTCGCCAGTAAATCCACTTTTCATCAGGCAATCTTTCGGTAAAATTTCATATCAAAGGGTTTTTCAATAAATGTTCACAAATTTCTATCCTCTTAGCTGATTTCTGAGGAGTAAGTTCGTCCAGGGACCAGTTTACTGCTCTTTTGTCCTTCTCCATGGAGAGTAGATGGTGACTAACAGAATCTTTCGACACACCACACTCCCTTAATAAGTTCGCGAGTACTTGTGGACGGATTTGACTAAACAACTTCCTGTAAAACCTAATCAATATCCATTAATGGTCGCTCGGAGCCCTTCTTCCTTTCCAATATGTCGTATCCCTACTGCTAATGTTTTTCAAATTAACGCCACACTGTGCGATGGTCAAGGACACCTTCCCCTTCATATTTAACAATTTCATGAGTTGCTTCAGCTGCTGTGAATTATTTTTCCAGTAATGCCTTAAGATTGTGAGAATTTCGTATGATACTGTCATGTTTTTTATGATGTCGAATGGGAAGAAAAAAGTTTAGAGAATGCTCCAAAGGGATTATTAAGTATTAGTAAGTATTTAATAGGAATAAAATACTTACAATCCTTTGAAATCTTGAATTTGATAAAACGGTCATTATTTTTGTACACCGTAATATACAATGCCGGTTTAAATAAAATGTTCATAATAATTAAATAGAATACACATATCTTTAATAATACATCATCCTTAAAATTTCAAAGGCATATAGAACCTCAACGGATGAATGGTTATCTCAACTTCGCGACAAACTTCCAGATAAGCATTGCGGAAAGCAGCTGGGAAGAGAAGCTTTAGCACGATTTAATACGAAAAGTCTTGATGCATGAAACATTACTCGCTTTGAATACACATCATAAATGTATATCTAAAAGTTGTGTTTGTAAACGCATTGTTTCCATAGTGTGCTTGCATCCATTAGAACTTAAGAACGACCTAAATTACTTTTATCATACTTGGCAAGCATGTTTCAAATATAATTACGACAGTCTCAGCGTCCTTCTTATGTAAGAGATTATATCAAAATTTATAAGGACTCGGCTTATACTACTTAATTATTATAAAAAATAATTAACCACAATAAATAATGGTGTATTCCCATTCATTCAGGTCTAGACCAGGGATCTCCGAACTAGGGATCACTAGCATCTTCAATATGGTCCACGAAAGTTTCTTTGATAAGATGGTAAAATTTGAAAAACTATTTAAAAATATGTAATTCAGCAAATTACTCACACACGAGGTAACTACAACATATAATTCATGTTTTTTTTTTCTCTTAGAAAGCTCATTTCAAAGCCGAAGTGTCATTAATAAAACAACATTTTTGTTTTTACCACTAGTCATAGCCCGCAGGACTTTGCTGAAGATCTCAATGTGATCCCAAAAGATCTCTGGTCTAGACTATTATATACATATATAAATTATAATATATATATTTTATTATTTTTTTTTTTTTGGTTAAGTATTCTATGAATGTTATCCCTAAAAGAGAACTTCAATTTCCATTTTTTAAATTTTATTTTAATATTTTCGAGCTGGATGTAAAAGTAATCAAACACAATTTTTTTGAAAAGGATTTTCTGTGATTCTTTGATTCTTGTTTGTGAGACAAATTTAAAATTATATTTGACATTTATTTATTATGCGAAGCTGCAGTTCCCACAACATGCAAATGAAACCATTGCCCACACATACTTTTTAAACAAATAAAACAATATATTTTTTTTTAAACCCAAAGATTTTTTTCAGCATATAACCCACTCTCTGAACATTTCCTAATCCAAGCATTAAAAAACAAGAAATCATTAAAATAGTATACACACAAACGTATTAAACACAAACAGAATAATTATTTTTATTTACTCTAATTTAATGACTTTAAAAGTTATATCAGTAACAATTATCTTTCACGACTATTATTTAAATTATAAGATTGATAATTTGATATCGTATTGTGTTCATTCAATGTATGTATTGGTTATTTTTTTTAGTTTAATTTTAAGCCTACTGAATAGTTAAAATATTACAAATGTAACAAAATTAAGTTTTTATTGTTTTCAAGAAGCATTTAAACACTATTATGACGGAATGTATTGTAGTCATTATAAATATATAATAAACTGGAAAAGAAAAAAAAACAGTATTTTTTTAAAACTCTCTACAGATTCCAAGGTAATGAGAAAATGAAAAAAAAAAATTAAAAACTATGAATTATGAAACATTCTTTCAATTGTTCCTCTTTAAATCACGATTCTTGTCAAGGTATTTATAACCAAATGTAGATATTCATTGCACGATTTCCTTTCTAAATTACTGTTCCCTTTATTAAGCAAATACAGAACTTGTTGCCAGTGCTCCCCGAGGCACTTAGTATTCTGCAGAGAACAAGGTCTTGGCTACAACAGTGGCACTTTACTATCTGTGTGTTTATGTCTCCCCTGGTGTCTTGGTAAACAGAACCAATCTCCGATAGTGTTCTCAGTCTTTTAGTGCTCAAACCTAAAACCTGAGATATCTTTCTGGAAACAGCAAAGATCGTTATTACAAAAAATATACGGATTATTCTTGTAATCGTTTGCACATTAATTTGGTAAAACATCCTTAGGAAGGACGAGTAATCAACAAGTAGCCAAAGCGTGGAGAACGAAATTCATTCCCTGTTAGAGCGCGGTACAGACCCCTTTTTTTTTTATCATATTATTAACATCCGTCTAAAACTCCGTAATGGCTTCATCTTAACGTAAGCAACATCTTTTTTATTAACAAGCATTCTCAGAAATGAGATACTGAAAACTCATAAATGGTGGGAGAAAAAACGCCAAACGTTTAAAAAGAACAGTTCTTGATCTCAAAAGAATGAACTGTTCTTCCAATCGGTTGTTTTTCTTTAGTTCGCCCGTTTGCCACTAGTCCAGTTGCTGTTTGATCTATTTTTCGTTTCGTTTTTTTCCAAACGAAACAAAAGCTCTTTCAGCTTTCCAACGAACCTATCAGGTCATCATTAAAATAACCCAACAGTTATTTTTATTAGACATGTTTAAACTGTTAACTTTAGTGATGTAGTATTTAGCTCCCATTATTAATGAAGGCTAGAAATAAATAAAAACATTTATTATAGGTAGAGCGGAGTAGCTAAGTGAGAGAAGCACTGAGCAGCTAACCTCGAGATCCCGGGTTCGTATCCGGCTGATGAAATGTAATTTTTCATCTGCCGTAGATGAACATGGTATCGGGAGACCCTTCTAGGGCACATCTAGCCGCTACATAGTGGTTACTCGTAATTAATAGAATTAATGCAATAATTTATTATAATTAATGGGGGGAAATGTCGCGTGATCCTGGACCCAATCACCTACATGCACAATCGTTGGCATTGAAATCGTTCTTCTTAAAAAAATAAAGAACCCAAGACCCTTCATGGATTGTAACGGTAAAAGTTTTGGGTTTTTTTTCTACCTTGAACTTGTCTTATTGTAGACTGTTATCTTCAACGAATTATTATATTTCTTAAAATAATATATATCAACAAGTAATAATTTTATTATTATGTACGAAAAAGTTAATTGCATTTAATAAAAACAATTATTACAGGTAATTATAGAGATGTAATTATTTATCTATCAAAACCAGTCACGTGCTGTTCCTAACCCGCCACCTGAGTATGAAAAACGAGGTTAGTAGTTGAAGTATTTGTGTGCATGCTTTCGGACAATTTATATTGTCACTGCCAGAACCACCATATTTCATTGCCTTCGTGTCATTACTTTACTGTATGTGTATGTAGGCGTATACGTACACAAACATAAAATGTATACATGTCATACAAATTCTTTTTTATTTCTATTTTATTAAGTTAGGCAAATGAATTTCCATTAAATTTCTTTTGTTTGTCAAAATACAAACGTTTTATTAACGTTCCGGCAATTATATCACAAAAAAATCTAAGCAGTAATTATACTGATCTTATCAATAGAATGAAAAATGAAATAAACACAATCAATAATTATTCTTATCTAATAATATTTCTTCCAAATCATAAATAAAATAATGAGTGGAGGAGGGAAGGAGGATAAAAAAAAGACATAAATGATAAACAAAAAGCATTGTATAGTATAGTGAACTCCTTCAATATCATCTATAAATAATATTGAATAAAATGAAATTTGAAAAAAATCAACCCTGGTAATAAATAGATTTATTGCAAAAATCATGAAGTATATTAAACTTTTAATCACGTTTAAATTAATTTCAACTTTATTCATCGATGGAAAAATCTAGGAAGCAGATCAAAATCACACCAAATCTAATAAAAAAAAAAAAATAGTTACAAAATATTCTGTTCACAGAGGGAAAATGCATCAAAGTGCTTAGTGGTTTAATTTTGTGTATTGTCACTAAATGACTTATTGCAATCAACTCACTATATATATATTTTTTTAGTTAATACATGATTGAACCTAGTACTGAGAGCAAATTCCTAAACTCAGCACTGAATTCATCGAAGGCATCGAGAAACTATCAAACCGTGACTCTACCATGGATGGAATTCAACGGGTTCCTTTATTCAGTGATGGAATCACCCATGGTTCAGCTGTTCAGTCGACCTTTCGTGATTGATTTATCCGCTGAATGTAGCTTCATTGTAACTACAGTGTTGTTATTTCTCTTTGAAATTCAAAATTCAGTTGGTAGTTATTTCCTTACATATATTTTATTTTTACATTTTTCGTATGTTTTTTAACCTTCCAGGAGTTTTAATCTTATACTGGAGGAGTTTTAATCCATCAGATCGTTCCTTATATCAGCATTCATAGCAGTCCATCGCTTTTGAATCCAATCGGTGGATGAAATCCATTACAATATTCTGGCTCTTTCCTTCAAGTATGGAAGACAAGGCAAGAAACTAAGAAATCGCAGCGGTTCTCTCTCATCCACGTCACGGGTATGGATTGATGGAATTATCTCTGAGTTTAGATACTTGCCCAGAACTAGTTTAAAATATTCTGAAGAT